GACCAAGGTAACGCAAGAGAGAAGTGGTGGAACTGTGCAGTTAGATTACGGGATGCAAAGCTCAGGTGCCCTTTTTGTTTCTTGCAGCGCAAGCAGGTTTAGCGACGAAGCGCGCACCAGAGCGCACAGGAAATACAGCCCCGTCCACAGCCTGAAGGACAGGTGGCAAGAGTGGGCCGACCAGCACATCACAACGCAGAAGCTGAACCCCTTCAGCGAGGACTTCGACCACCAGCTGGCCATGTCCACGCGCCTGCACAAAGGAGACGAAGGCTACGGCCGTCCCAAGGAAGGAACCAAAACTGCTGAAAGAGCCAAGAGAGCCGAGGCCCACATCCACCGGGAGATGAGAGACATGTGCTTCATCATTGAGTCGATGGCTAGGCCACGGCCCGATGGCAAGATCCAAGTCACTTTTGGGGAGCTCTTCGAGAGATACGTTCGTATTTCGGATAAGGTGGTTGGGATTCTCATGAGAGCCAGGAAACACGGCCTTGTGGACTTTGAGGGAGAAATGTTATGGCAAGGAAGGGATGATAACGTCATAATTACTTTACTGAAATAACCAGGCTGCAAGAAGAGCGACTTGTTTTGGAAAACCACTCTCCACTTCTCCCTCACAATTAGCGTTTGCACATTTTGAAGGGAAGATTTCACCCACATAGAAATGACATGGAACATTTTCCTGAATATGTATTTTATAACTATTGCATAGTAACTAAAGCATCCAAATGGACTTTTCTCTGTACCAGAAGGGCTCGCAGGTCACTTAATTACTACTACATCAATAATAAAGAGAAAAATCTGTATCAAATATAAGCAACTGATTATAAAACAACCCCATAGCAATATAAATAGCTACAAATGGATTCCAATTTTCACTTGTTCTTCCATGCAAGATTTTCCCAGCTAGTTAAACTGGGCTTTCAGGAATATAAACCATGCCAGTTCAGAGGTTGAATGACAATAAAAACAAGTTTTTGATCTGTGAAAGTGATTTTGTGCACATATGTCCTGATTAATTTAAATGCACATAAAAATAGTTTTACTTGAGCACAGGATCAAGGATACCACATTTGTTTCCTTTACAAACAGGATACACAAGTACTACTGCAGTATTATCTTGTGGCAACTATTGACACAATGTTCTCGTACGTATCACATACAAACTAAGACAAAATCCTTTTTATAAATGATGTTTTATATTTAATGTATTTATAAAACTAATTTATTAGATATTTTCATTTTCAGAGTTAGGGATGTTGGAGAAAAAACACCTAACAGAATGTAATGCACACAAAAGTTTTGAATACATAGTCACTTAGAAAATACTTTCTATGCAACGTTGTGCAATGTATCATCTGAGTATGTGTGCGGTATATGGTTCTCAAAAATACAGGGGGAAATCAAATGTGATGTATAAAAGAGTCAGGTATTTGTACTGTTGTGTATAAAAAAGCGTGATCTTCCATTAAAATGTACCTCTGTGAGAAAAGATGCAGAAACAGTATTCTTAACTAAAATCAACTAACTTAAAGGAAAATGGCGTTTCACACTACACAATCATGGGCCTCATTTTATAGCATTTGCCATTTGAACCATTCTGATGTCACTCAAGTCATATATTTCAGTCCAAGTGATGCCGAAGAGGAGTAAATGCTAACAAACTAATACCTCTGGGTCTTAAAACTGTTTGCATTAAGCCCAAACCTGAGACCTCTGTGAAGTCCATCAGGCTCACTGCATTACAGAGGTCACTGTTTCCCTAAACTACTACTGTAAAGATACCTACCCTGGTAAAAGTGTGCTTTGTGTGAAAAGCATTTTCGAGCAAGATGCCT